TTTAAGAGGACAAATTCATTCTTTTTGGAACCTTTAAATATCTTTCCATCTCCCTGTGGATACGACACCCCAAAGCAACACTACAACACCGCGTAACACTTTGAGCGTAATCAAAGATCCATTATGTTTTCATATCGCACTGATTCGTGATGACATTTCAAACATTTAACTTGATAGTAACAAGATTAGTGCAGCAGAATTTTCCAGAGGTTAACATAGCAATATATAACAACAAATATATTTCAGATGCAGCAAAATTTGGAATGACTTAGCAATGATCAAACACCTTTGACATTCTCTCCTCCCGCCCTCCAAGCATATAGATTGCATTGAGGTAACAAGAAGCCTGAGTACAAAAGACATTACATCAAGGTGGAGATAGATAAATAGACAATGTATCTTCAGATTCTTCTGGAAAGAATTTGAAGTCTAAATTCATATCCATGTTTAACTTTTTCAAGGAAGTAAATGAGAACAGATGACACCTTTAGGAAGATATTTAAATTTTCATCTTCGAAAATCAAAAAGAAGGAAAAGGCAGAGTGAGTGAGAGAGATTATCCATGAGTCCATGACAGCTACAGACCTTAAAAAACTCATGAACGATGTCCTGACTTCCATCACCTAGCTGGCAACTAATACTCCTAATATGCACAAGAATTTTGTTAGAAGACAAAGGGCCCCCACTTTCTCTCAACACCATCGCATGTTGCTCAAGCTCACACAGGAGGCACCAATCTCTTGCACAACCTGTGGCATACAATAGATTTTAGGCAATTCTTTCTCATCCAATAGCAAAATGCCTTCGCCAACAATTTAAAGAGAGGAATACAGGACAAAAATTACAAATTCTATAATGTGATCTACGAAGCAGATAAACGGTCAAGAGGTTTTGTGCAACCAGACATTGCAGCACGGCATTGGCATAACAACCGTAGCACATTAAATAAAAAGAAAAGAAAATGAAGCATATTTTATCAATCATTCACAAACTCTGGAAAGCGAAAAAACAGAAGGGTACAGTTCGATTACCTGTTCCCACAATCCTCTAGGCCACAAGTTGAAAACTTCAACTTGTGCAAAGGGGTTATGAGAGGTGGGTTTCCAAAAACCCATCCTACCAAATCGATTCACCGGTTGTTTCACTGATTCGAACGGCGCCGAGGTGTCAATCTCAGACATTGATCTCCCCTTCTCTTCGGAACCCGGCTCACTTCCATAACCCACTGTCGGACCCCCATCAATCAAGCCCCCAACATTGGCATCTAGGGTTTTTTATCACCACTATACCCATGATTTATTGCAAAAAAACCAGAGAATGGCGAGAGGAAAAAAATAGAAAAGAGAGAAGAGAAAGAAGGAGTGGGTTGTGTGGGAAAAGCAGTCGTCGTTGCGTGTGAAATGAAGTGAAGGCAATAGGAAGAGAGAACGTCAGAAAGAAGAGATGGTTGCGTGAATTGCACTAAAGTAATGTACTGATCACACATGGCCGGCTTACACGGCTCAGCTAGCTGGTTGAAGAAAAATGGCTCGACTTTATTGGCCATATGGCTTATGAACAGTACCATAAGACTCATATATGGCTTATGAATAGTGGAAGACCCCTTCACTCTTTTACTTATGTAGGAAACAATCAATGCAATGGATTATTTGTACAGAAAAATAGCCGTTGTATTCCTATGTTGTCCCCCAAAACTTCAATATCACATGGTAATAGTGTCTTTTGGAAAATCTCTTTACCCATGTCAAATGAAAGAATAACCTCAACACTGACATCTTGTGCCGACCTACGAAATGTTTCATTTTTGTGTACCATACTCCAAACATTATAGTACATAATGTTTGCCAGTACAATATCTTTATATATTTTGCAAAAACCCATTCTTAACGAGTATATCTCGACTTGATAAACATGGCCACGATCATTAGACATGCAAAATAAGATTTGCATTACCTTAAAATCATTAGTATCCGGATCAAAACCTACTCTAATGTCACCACCTTGTATTCCAACATCTGGATGACTATGTATCTGATATCGAGGTAATATCTTAAAATCTCGAATGGCAGGGTTCCATAAAGCAATACTACCATGAAAACTGTATAAACAAACAATGCTGTTATATGGCCCAATTAGTCTTATGTGACCAAACATTCCATTCAAAAATGTTGACAGATTTTGATCATCAAATGTTTCAATAATTGTGTTCCCAATTCCAAATGATGAGATAAGTCTTGAATTTGATTTATCATCTCGTCCTCTCACAAGTAAATGAAAATTCTGGTGCTTTAGATTGAAAGTAGGGTTCTTAAGAAGACCATATCATGATTTCCAGACACATTTGAACCTAATCAATGATTTTACTGGTAATTTGGATCAAATCTGTAATTGCCCAAAATTTATTATAGAAATAAATATGAATCGCTACCAAAATTTATTTCGAAGAAACTATAACTATAAGTATTTCCATGTCATGCTTACAATCAATTAATTCAAATATTTGTTCATATCATTTAAATAAGTGGCCAAGGGATGTGAAGTAATTTATGTCATACTCAACATGAATTTCGGGTTAAGATACTTACTTGAAATATTTGTCCCAATCCCGATCACAGTGGAAGGGAATTATTAGCCACAACCTAAGTGCCAATTTTTTGTGAGTTTTCATGCCAAAATAGTGGTTCCAGGTGCCTTTCAATTTTGGTGATATTTTCCATACGAATTTTTCACCATTTTATTGTCAACTTTTTTCTCTCTTCTTAGTGCAAGTTATGGGAGTTATATAAAAGCTCGAAAGTTGGTGGGAGTTGATAGAAGTTATAAGTTTGAATTCTTTTCAAACCACTCCCTCCAATTCATTTAATAACTTGTGGATCGGGTTACTCCACATGGGTGACCCATGGCCCATATTTTCTAACATCTCCCACTGGCACATGATGAGCTTCATCCGAATCACAAGGGACATCGAATGTCATGTTAGATCCTTCTCAAGATCTATCTCACAAAAATTCATACGAAACAAATAGATCGTGCGACCAACGACTAATATTAGAACTCACAATACTATAAACATGTTATGGATATATAGTAGCTCTACTAGAGGTACATCTTATCTCGCTATACCCCAAACTTATTTTTCTGACATTAATTCAAGTATTTTCAATCCCTCAAGTATTTATTGAACTTACTTGAGCCCCATATCTTATCATTGTTAAACACAATTGTCTGGCCGGTAAATACAAATATAAATGTTAGTCAAAATAGTTTTCATTTCCTACTTGAATCCTTCAATTTTAAATCAGCTACTTTCCTAGACATGTCTCATCAAACCGAATCAATCATAGTTATTGAAAACATGCTAAAGTAGCAACACCGAAATAAATCTCAAGCAACAGTCAAAAGTCATAAGGGTATA